GCGGTTCTTAATACTGTTCCTCGCGTCCCCCGCTCTGCATCTCTCTCTCTCTCTCTCTCTCTCCCTCTCTCTCTCTCATTCAGATCGTCCGATCAGCTCCAACGAACTGTTCCATTTATACACTTATTTTCACATAGCTATGAGAAGCGTTATACATCGACGTGCGTACGGTTGCTGTGCTGTATTAAAGCTTTAATCAGAATAAAACCATATATTAAAAGCTAACAGAAGCAGTAGCATTTACAAACCACAGCGTATCTTCATCTGCTTTTGATGTCTCTCTCTCTCTCTCTCTCTCTCTCTCTCTCTCTCTCTCCATCGTGCGTGTGTGTGAATACTGTATCCCGTGGCCGTTTTTGAGGGCTAGAGAGGAAAGACCGAGTGTGAGACGTGTTATAACTGTGTCCTCTTTCTGTACTTCTCATGACCTCCTTCTCTCTTGCCCTCGAAATCTCTCTCTCTCTCTCTCTCTCGTTCTCTGTGTCTCTCGTTCCCCCGTGTGTAACAGTGCGGCGTCACTCTCTGCGTCAGTGTGCCATTACGTCAGCCCTGCATCGCGTCACCGCTGAGGTGCAGATGAGCTAACGTTGCTTTTTCTCTCTCCCCCCTTTGTCTCTTCCTCTCCCGCTACCTGTGCGTTTACCTCTGCCTTACGCCCACTTCCTGTCTCTCTCGTCCAGTCTTCGGGCACCAGCGTGACGGTGGACATCGCGGTGATGGGCGAGGCCCACGGACTGATCTCAGATCTGCTGGCTGACCCCTCCCTCCCGCCGAACACCTGCAGCACCCTGAGAAAAAACCCAGTCAACCACCCCTTTAAGTAGCGACACGGATCCATATTGTGACGTACATCCGAGTATAAAGTAAAAGAAAAAAGATAAAGACGGCACTTAGTTCTATGCATCAGTTTTTAATTGGATGTTGCTAAGACTAATCTGATCTATGCAACTGTTGTGGCCTCACCCACTTCTTTTCATTTCCAGCCATTTTTTTAAGTAGGGACAGATTCTTTCTGCCGTATTGTGATGTACATATGAGTTTAATGAATTAATTACATTAAAAAATGTGGGCGGGACTTGGTTCTATGCAGCTGTTGTTGATTGGATGTTGAGATGTGAGAGAAGGCACCAGAGAAAGGAGAGAGGCTGGCCATCCCAAATGTAAGGCCACACCTTCTCAGGTACTGGGATTTGATTGGTAATTGGCCGTTTGCTAAGTCCCACCTTTAAAATACTGTACAACTGAACATTGCAGCTGTTGCAGCTCCGCTCACTTTACGCATTTCCATTCATTTTGTTCATAGAGACTTTTTAAGTAGCAACAGACCCATATTGTGACATACATACGAGTTTAATGTATAAGAAAAAAAAGATAAAGGCGGGACTTAGTTCCATGCATCAGTTGTTAATTGGATGTTGCTAAGCCATGCCTTAAAATGCAAATCTGATCTTTGCAGCTGTTGTGGGCTCACCCACTTTTTTCCCCATTTCCAGTCTTTTTTTTTTTTGAGTAGTGACAGATTCTGTCTCCCATATTGTGATATACATATGAGTTTAATGAATTAACGACATAGAAAAATGTGGGCATGACTTGGTTCTGGGCTGTGATATCCAAAAGCATCGTAAGCTTAAGTACATCGTAGACCCATTGAAACCAATGGAGCTACAATCAATTTAGGCTTACGATGCTTTTGGGAAACGCAGCCCTGGTTAGTTGTTGATTGGATGTTGAGGTGTGAGAGGAAGTGCCAGAGAAAGGAGAGAGGCTGGACATCCCGTAGGTAAGGCCACACCCTCTCAGGTACCGGGATTTGATTGGTAATTGGCCCTTTGCTAAGCTCCACCTTAAAAATATGATTTACCAGTCTTGATTGACAAATAAAAATGTAGGCGAGACTTGGTTTTTGGTTTGATTGATAGTTGGCCCTTTTCCAAGCTCCGCCTTCAAATTACAACTGCAGTTGTGGCCCTGCCCACTTTTTCCAGTTCCAGAATTTTTAAAAGCAGCAAATGTGGGCAGGAATTGGTTCTATGCATCTGTTGTTGATTGGATGTTGAGATATGGGCGTGACACTCACTTAAGCTTGTGTGGGTGGAGTTTAAATGGACTTAACTATTGGAGAACCCTGCATATGTGTGTCGAGAGAAGTGTGTCGTTTTCACCAGAAGATCTGGTTATGACATTTAGATTAAAAGATATGAGGTCAAAACTTTTTTTTTTTAATTACACATTTACAAAGATGAAGTGTTCACAATAAGATCTATAGCATGCATTTTTAAATAATATTTTAAAATAACTAGGAAATATCATATTACAAATACTAATTACAGGTAAGTAGCAAGTAACACATTGAATAAATCATGAAATTCTGAAGTAGAAAGACTCAAATAGTGTTTTCTTGCAAAACATACTCCAATAATCTTTATTTACAACTTTGATAATACATTTTTGCAGTATAGTATCAGACGGGCTTTCACACTTTTATAGTGGAGTTGCATGGAAGTCTGTGTTTGGATAGTTTTATATAGAATTCCATTGAGAAATGATCCAAAAGTACATTAAAACATTTAGTACAGTAGAACAGTAATCTATACATTTAGATAAATCACATATGACATGCCACCATGTACCAACTCCAGCCCATGTATGAATAATATCCAGTCTATTTATGAGTCCATTTCACTGAAAGTCATGCCGTTCATACCTATGGGACGTTCTGTAAAGCTTGTCCTGCAGGGAGCGGAGCTTAGCAACGGGTCAATCAGGCTTTCGTTTGTGAAAATGAATGGTTTTTTACGGGTTAGGGTGTTTTTACATTATTTCTTAGCATTGCTGCAGCAATTCATGAATGGCTCGTGTTATCTTGGTGGAACCGGCGAAGACTTTGAGACAAAAGAAAAAGACTCCATTGTGTTTAATGGTTTACTGCCACGGCCAGTGCTCTGTATTTTTCATCACACACACACACACGCACACACGTTCCTTCCTCATTCACGCCAGCATGGCAGGTCTCTAATGTAGCGGACATGACGCAATGACGCACACACTCACAGAAGCCTTTTAATGTTTCACCAGCACTGCAGTTAAAAATGCATGCCGGCACTTAAAGAGTAGGTGAGGCAAAAGTCACTATCCGTCTCTCCAGCGCTTTTCCCATGCTGCAGTGCTCAGCAAACACCGTTAAGAGATGTTTATTAAAGCCCATTCATTACACCTGGTCCATATGTAGGTCACACCGCACTACGCTCTGATATTGAACAGAATTCAGAGCGCCGGCCTTATTATTTTTCCACAGCGTATATAATGTGATATTTTGGCAGTGTGAAGAAAAACATGAGCGAGTCTGGTTCTTTAAGCAGCATTTTATCTGTTAGAGCTACAGCTGTGTCAATATTGGAATAAAAACGGCATGAAACGCAACTGATGGTGACATGATTTGCGTAGAAGGTCAAATAGTTGTGGCCTGTCTGGGTGTCCAGTTTGGCAGCGGTGCAGGAAACGGGGCTTTTTCACATAAATCCCAAATCACTTTTCCTGTATATTTTAACTCGGCAAAGAAAAACACTTTTCCTAAGGTGTTACATTTCTGCAGCGCTGCTGATCGGACGTCCATTTCTAGAGCCGGTAAACATGCAACACAGTTACCGTAGGTCAGAAACCTTTAACGAATTATACATGCATGAGCTCCCCGCCTTAGAAAGTGCTATTAAGATTTAAAGGCCGATTCCTCCAGTATTTTCCTACGTTAGGATTTCGAGCGAGCGCATACCTTTGTCGCAGACGTTTAAAATGCTAATCTATTCGAGAGCTAATAGGAAAAGAAAGTTGTTGAACTGACCGGTTCACTGCACTCTCAGGCCCTGGACTGTTCCCTGCAGGTTTTGTTAGTTTTTACTAAGGCGTTGTAGTGAAAAATAATTGTGTATCTTGATGTTTTTTAGCCTATTTAAAGATATTGTGTGTTATATAAATGTTAAATGTTACAAATGTTTAGTGTAAGAAGTAAAATAAAGTATAAATCTAATCAAAGCTAAATAAACACAAGGGCATAGCATGTTTTGTAAAATTTGTATAAAAATAAGTAAATAGATAAATAAAAAACAAATAATAAATAAATAATAAAAATATTTTTTACCTACAGTGCATAAGAGTAAAGCATACAGGTGTAACTAAAAAAAGTCACTATATAAACTATATAAACTCACTATATTTTTTCTTTTTTTAAATATTCAACAAAATTGCTAAATATATTTCAGGAGCAATTTCACATCTCTTGAGGGTTGAGCGTTGAGAAGACTGATGCTGTGAGCTGGTGTTGAGGGTGTGATTTGAGCTCCCTGCAGGAGGCTAGTTTGTGCAAAAATGCTTAAGTGGTTGCTGGAAAATTTGCACGTACCGTTTTAATGAAAAGTTGTGAGGTTCTGTGGGTAATGTGGCTTTTTATGTGTCGGTGGCAGAACTGGTATTAGATAATCAATTTAAACTACATGTTTGTGGCATGCATGTAAACAGTGTTGATGCAGATATTTGGCGAATCGTGTGAAACTTATCAAGGGTCATGTCAGAGGTGGGGGCAAGTCACACATGTTCAAGTCTCAAGCAAGTCTCAAGTCACAGTACAAACAAATCAAGCAAGTCAAGTCAAGTTAGTGGCTCACCTCAAGCAAGTCATGTCGAGTCCTGCTAAGGATCAAGTCAAGTCACAGTATCAAACAGGAACAAATATATTTTTGCCACATGACCTTATTAATTTTTCCTCAGAAATTAACTTTCTTAGTTATACATTTTAAATAATAATGTTT